TTAATTAAAATGTTCAATAATTCAAATTCAAATTAAGTTATTCTGAATTCAGTTATTCTGAATATTGTGGCTGCATTGCTTCCTTCACAACCTCCCAGCAACAGCCCCCCCCCACACACACTCCCGGATGGTACTCAAAAAAAGGTTGGCAGGTCTGACTATTTCATATTTTAACGATTATTTCTTTCCTATAGGGACTTGAAAATGTCAGTTGCGTTGCTCTCCATTGAGCGGGAAAATTGTTTCGGATTTAATTAAAAATATCTTAATTTGTGTTCCAAACATGAACAAAAGTCTTACAGGTTTTGAACGACATGAGGGTGAGTGATTAATGACAATGAAATTCCATTTTTTGGTGAATTAAACCTTTGACACTACTTCAAGAAATAGGCCATCCAAAAATTCAAATTCTGTCATGTACTCATCTTTGAGCTATTCTAAACCATGTAAAAAAAAATCCAGTTAAACAAAATACTTTATGGCTCCATTTTTTTCCTCAATAATGTGGAAGTCATTGAGAACCAAGGCTGTTTGGTTTATTCATTCTTTGCAATATATTCTTTTATTATAGTAGAAGAAATACATTTATTCAGGTTTTTAAAAATTTGACAATTTTTCTTTTTTGGATGAATTATTCCTTTGTAATGCATTACTATAGTTCAGCAAATGCTTTTGAACTATTGAACAAGTTTTATTAAATTCTGCACATGCTTATGTTTGTCTGATGTTTGTGCAGATGTTTTGTTGGAATCAACCCACACACCGGCACCAAGACAGGCACATCATAGGTTGGAGCAAAAAAAAGTGGGAAAGTCTCTGAGAAGAGGAATAACACAGTCAATCCTCATGTGTGTTCTCTTCTCAGAAGTCTAATGGACTTTGAGTGGTTAAGCATGTAAGTTTACAAATATATCAAAACTATACCTACAGGATAAGCCATCTATAAAATGACACTTGCTTTCAGACTTCATGTTAAAAAAAAAAAACTGGTCAACTTACAAAATATGTTAAAGAATGTTAAATGTTTCAAAAATGGCTAAATGTTTGTTAGAGTATTCTAAGTTTAATGAATCAGCACAGCCAGTAGCATTTGTGACAGATTTAAACATTTATTTCTTTTAAGCAGAAATACTGTATGACTTGCTGTGAGTTTTAACTGAAGTCAGATTCGTTTTGGTACCAAGATGCCATTCTGTTGTTTTGAGCTTAAAGGGATTGCCATCATTTACTGTACTCACCTTCAGTTGTTCCAAAATTCCAAAAGTTTTTTTCTTGTTTTAAGATATTTTAAAATGTTGGTAACCAGACAGTTGACAGTAGCCATTGACTTCCATATTTTTGCCCTATTATGGAAGTCAATGGCTACGTTACTTGTCTGGTTATAAACTTCATTAAAATATAATCTTTTGTATTCAACACAAGAAAGAAACTCATAGTTTTGGAACAACTTAAGGGAGAGTAAATAATGACCATTTTTATTTTTAGGCAAACAGTCCCTTTAACTTTTATTTAACTATTGCTTAATGCTTTAATCTTGAGTTGTTTGTAGTTGTTTTGTAACAGCTGATTTTTTATAAGTTTTTCTGTAGTTGAAAAAGTAAAATTATGTTACCAGTGAGAGTGCTGAAGTGTTGTCAGGTATCAGCTTTAATAAACAGTTTTCTTACAACAGCTTTGAATTTGAGTGATTATTTTTTAAAATCTTTGTTTTTATGCATTCACATCAGTATAATGGTAAAGAGCACAGTACAGTTCACAGTTAAAATAGTTATTTACAGGAATTTCATAGTAAAAATGTTACAGCTACATCTTGGCTTTTGTTGAATTCACAGGATTTTATTGCCAACTTTTGTTGCCAGGTAAGTACTGTAATTTAGCGTAATTACAAAAAAAACCTGTAATGCCTTTTTACAAGTTTAATTTTATAATCCTGTAAAAAAAAACAAAAAAATGCTGTATTCTGCAAACATCAATTTATTGTAAATTCCTAAGCAGTATTATACTGTAATCTATTTCACAGCAATTAGCGACTATTTTACAGGATTTTATTGGCAACTTTTTTGCCAGTAAATTATTGTAAATTCTACAGTATGTTCTTTACAGTGTGTTAGTGGTGGCACCGAACTGGACCCAGCACCTGTCCTTGCCCGGTCTCTGCGGACTGCAGCAGCTCTGGCTTTGGCATGGCTGGAAAAATCATGCCATTTTTTTGCGTACATCCTGCCAGTCTCTGCGTGCACCTGAACTGGAGGCAGACATCTTTTTGGCTATGTCGCTCCATATTTCTTTCTTAGTGCTGTTATGAATATTGTTCCTAAAGCTGGCGAAGAGTGTTGTCTTATTGACATTCACTTCGTCCAGCAAAATTTCCAGTTCTTCAGATGAGAAGCTTGGTGCCCTTTTTTACGTGGCGTCTTCTCTGCCATCTTCTCTATCTTTTTTCTCTCTCTGTTCTTTCTTTTTTCTTTCTTTCTCTCTCTCTCTCTCTTTGTTTAGTGTAGGTAGGTTGCTTTTATAGAAAATCCAATGGCAGAGAAAGAAAGAAAGAAACAGAGAGAAAAAAGATAGAGAAGATGGCAGAGAAGACGCCACGTAAAAAAAGGGCACCAAGATAACAGCACTAAGAAAGAAATATGGAGCGACATAGCCAAAAAGATGTCTGCCTCCAGTTCAGGTGCACGCAGAGACTGCTCCCCCTAGTTCGCACCCTGTTGTATACCCGGTTAGTTTCCCCACCACTAGGTTACATGAAAATATTAACTACAGTTTGGTGATTAAATTTATATATTTTTCTATTATGACATGCTACTGATAAGTTAACCCATATTGAAATAAATGTTATTGGGAGAATTTGCATAGAATGTGTTGTCTTTCTTAACGCTGTCATGCAAATGAATTGAAAAATCAATTCCCGAGCAATCGATGTCAACTAATTCAGCACCGTGTCTGTGGCCAGCTCCTCGTAACGTCGCACGTAAGAGGCAACGTCTTAAGAAGCCTCCTAAGGGACAGTTCGGGGAACACACTTAGAAAAGTAAACAACTTTGGTAAGATGTATCTTAAGAATCTTCTTAGCGCACTAAGAGTGTTCGTTATCGAGAAACCGGGCCCAGATGAATAGCAAAATGACCTTTGACATTCCTGACCCTGTACATTGGTTAAAATTTTCTGTAACAAATTGCATAAATCAGTGTAAAATCTCTATTTTATATTACATATTTTGCTTGACATGCATATTCCTTTACCTTTTTAAGTGTAATGAAAATGGGCTAAATGTTAACCATGCATTTTCTTCAATGAATTACAGGACCAATTGAATACCCAATGATTGCCACCTGCTGTAATAGCTTTGTAGGCTGCAAAACCTGTGTAGAGCAGTGGATGGCCACATCTAACCAATGCCTCAAATGCAGGACGGATGATTTTTCTAGTCATGCACACAGAGTATCTGGCCTTAACGGTGCTCTCTCAGCACTGGCAGATATAATTAAGGTTGAATAATTCTCACATATTTAATGTTCTATAGGGTAGCTTTTATTGTTACTGATGTTCAGTCTTATGTAGCAATACTTAGAAAACTGCCCTGTTCATAGCAATTACAAGGAAACACTTGTTTGGCTCAGTGTTTTAAAGTGCAATATGGTATTTGATTCTATTTGTAGGTGCTGTCAGTTTTGAAAACAGTACGAACTTCTGAAAGTGAAAATTTCAGTTTACTGCCATGCTCAGTCATCCACAGTACTGATTAAAGTTTACATTTTGTGATTTCATATTGTTGTGTAATGCTTATTAGATGTAAAAGTGCATCCTGGAATGGACTGTTGCTATGGTTAACGACACTATCAAACAAAACGGAAATGTCAGGGTAGTGTTCAGAAAAACGGTCCTCTGCTGACAGTTTTTCCTCCTCACTTGAAAAGGGGTCTTTGCCAAAGCAGGAGACTCTCGTCAGTGACGAGCCAATGTCCTGCTGGTACAGGTCTGCTGCCTGGGAGGCATGAGGCAGTAGGCTCTCTCCAATTTTCTTAGGACAGCCCCCATCTGCCAAACTGTTTGGAATTCCTCTGCCTGTGAAGACATAATTGATGGACTAGTAGCTATTGTATATTAAAACCATTTAGATTTTAGAATTCAAAATTCACAATATGTAACTCACCTGGGATTCTGTGTGCATTCCATGCCTGT